GAAAGTGTTGATTCTTTCAAAAGCAAATTAGTTTAATTTCCTTAAGGAAATGATATCGCTGGATACAGTATATAGTTTGGGATATGACATGTGGCGGGCGAACTAGATGGACCTTGGACTTCTTTCGTCTAGCAATTCAATTCTTATGTTCTTTTGTCGGAAGCAAGGATGATTATTATTATTAGTCACTTCCACAAACAGATGGAAATCTCAGTAGGTTGGTTCGGATATTCTTAAACCTGGCGATGGGTTTCTGTCTATGACAAGACACACAGCTGACAAAAATAAGTCAAGTCTCACTGACTTGTAAACTGCATTGCCCTGCCTTCCCGCAGTAATCTTGTGGCTGTATAAATCCTGCTATGTTAATTACTATCTTGTGGAAATGGCATGTAAGTACCAAACCCAAGTGTTTAAATAATATCTCATTCGACACAATGCGACTCCTTGTACTGTGAAACAATTATAATTGAAACAATATAATAATCTTTGCATTTGATGCAGTGTAATATAAAATGACGTTTGTAAAGCGTCTTTCATGTCGGGAGTACATCCCAAGACGCTGAACAGTCGGGGATTAGGAATTAGGAACCGGGTGGGGGGCTTGGGATCAGGGAGGGTGGAGGGCAGAGATGCTGGGGGGGTGGCCGAAGGCATGGTCAAAGAAGAGGGTCTTAAGGCGGTAAGGGAGGGAGCACCTTACCACATTGTCGAGAATAATAATCCTTGCATTTGTTACAGTGCTTTATATGGAGTCCTGTAGCTCAGTGGTTAGAGCACTCGCTTTGCAAGTGAGAGACCTGAGTTCAATTCCAGGCAGAGGGCGAAACCTTGGGCAAGTTTCCTTACTCCACACAGAGCCTAATAATAATCCCTCCAAAAAAAACAAACAATAATAAATTGGTCATTTTCAATCCACGACTGTTTGTGGGACATTGCTGTGCGCAATTGGCTGCCGCGTTCGCCCACAAATACACAGTCAATTCACTTTACAGTATATTCTGTGAAGCGCTTTGGGACGTCCTCCCGACGTGAAAAGCGCTATAGCAAATGCAAGGATTATTATTATTATTATATCATTGAGATGTCTCAAAGCGCTTCACAGGATATACTATAAGGTGCAGTGACTGTATTGTGTAGGCGAACAGGCAGCTAATTTGAGTAGGGCCTTGTCCCACAAAACGTCATGGAGTGAGTGACCATTTTTATTCGGGGGATTGTTGGCCAGGACACCCGGAGAGAGAAACTCTCTTCTCTTTTTGGATAGAGCCACGGGATCTTTAAGATCCACCTGAACAGGCAGACGGGACCTCGGTTTAACGTCTCATCCGAAGGACGGCACCTCTGACAACGCAACACACCCACCAGGCACTGCATCGGAGCGTCATCTTAGACGATGTGATTCCAAGTCCTGACGTGGGACTTGAACCCACAAACTTCTGACTCAGGGGCGAGAGCGCAACTGACTGTGCAGCACAGCTGGAGCACAAACAATGAGTCAAATTGACATTGCATTAGCCCAGAAATTCCAACCACATTCAAAGAGACGAGAGCCCATCCAGTGAGCTGAAATCTACACCAGTCACGATTCATGACTGAGCAGCCAGACATCCCACCGAGCAGGAGTCGTTTTTTTTTCCCCTTAAACTTAATTTTGCCCGGAATTTGCAGGAAATGCCCAAATCTGGATTTTATTTGGAAGCTCTCCCCCCTTTCCTCAATAATAATGATTATCATTATCGTTCTAGGATTTACTCCACACGCCTCATAACAATCCCTCAAGAAAAAATAATAATAAATTGGTCACTTCCATCCACGACCGTTTGTGGGGACGCTGCTGTGCGCAATTGGCTGCCGCGTTTCGCCCACAAATATACGGTCAATTCGCTTTACAGTCTATTCTGTGAAGCGCTTTGAGACGTCGAGAAGACGTGAAAAGGCTCTATATCAAATGCAAGGATTATTATTATTATTATTGTCGAGACGTCTCAAAGTGCTTCACGGGATTTTACTGCAAGGTGTGATTGTGTAGATTGTGATTGTGTCACTGTTAATATCAGACTATATAGAGGTTCTCACTGTTAATATCAGACTATATAGAGGCTCTCACTGTTAATATCAGACTATATAGAGGTGTCACTGTCAATATCAGACTATATCGAGGTTCTCACCGTTATTAATATCAGACTATATAGAGGTTCTCACCGTTATTAATATCAGACTATATAGAGGCTCTCACTGTTAATATCAGACTATATAGAGGTGTCACTGTTAATATCAGACTATATAGAGATTCTCACTGTTAATATCAGACTATATAGAGGTTCTCACCGTTAATATCAGACTATATCGAGGTTCTCACCGTTAATATCAGACTATATAGAGGCTCTCACTGTTAATATCAGACTATATAGAGATTCTCACTGTTAATATCAAGACTATATAGAGGTTCTCACCGTTAATATCAGACTATATAGAGGTGCTCACTAATAATATCAGACTATATAGAGGTGCTCACTGTTAATATCAGACTATATAGAGGTGTCACTGTTAATATCAGACTATATAGAGGTGTCACTGTTAATATCAGACTATATAAGGTGTTCACTGTTAATATCAGACTATATTGATGTGCTCACTGTTAATATCAGACTATATTGAAGGGCTCACTGTTAATATCAGACTATATAGAGGTGTTCACTGTTAATATGGAGTTAACACTGTTAACAGTGGAGTCCTGTAGCTCAGTGGTTAGAGCACTTGCTTTGCAAGCGAGAGACCTGAGTTCAATTCCAGGCAGAGGGCGAAACCTCGGGCAAGTTTCCTTACTCCACACAGAGCCTAATAATAATCCCTCCAAAACAAAACAATAATAAATTGGTCATTTTCAATCCACGACTGTTTGCGGGACATTGCTGTGCGCAATTGGCTGCCGCGTTCGCCCACAAATATACAGTCAATTCACTTTACAGTCTATTCTGTGAAGCGCTTTGGGACGTCCTCCCGACGTGAAAAGCGCTATAACAAATGCAAGGATTATTATTATTATTATTATTATTTATGTGGGCGACGTAACAATTTGAGACAAAATGCTGCTCGGAGGCTAAATCCGGGTGGAATTTCGGGACAAATATTCGTCACTGACTGATTCAGCTAAGACCCTTATCGGGGAGAGGGAGCGGGTGATGCATTTATTTATCCCCCTCCCGTGTTTTGACTTCAAGCTCCTCACACTCGTGTTCAAATCCCTTCACTCTCTGATACCTCCCCCTACCTCGCCGACCTCCTCACTCCCCAATCTACCGCCCGGCATCTTCGCTCGACTGGCGCCGGCGTCCTGCCTACTCTCTACCCGCGCGCCCTCCGCCCCACCATTGGAGGTCGCGCTTTCGGCTGCTACGCCCGCAGACCCGAAACCGAACGCCCCCCCGCCCCCCCCCCCCCCCTACAAAGCACAATCTAAATAAATCTGGAGGCTGTCAATGTCACGACAGGGCAGACAAATTAAACGGCTTCAGAATGAAGAACGTATTCGACAATTTAAGTGTCACGTGGCGTAGTGGTTAGAGCGCCGTGGCTCGGACTCAGGCTCCGCCACTGTGAAGCGCTCTGAGTCGCTATTATAAGTGCAAATTGTTGTCGTTTGTCAAGGGGAAAGATTCACTCCCCACCACCACTCCCACCGGGCTTAGAAGGTAAAATTACGAGGACGCAGGTTGCGTAAACCTGGCTTGCATTCCCTTCAGCTTAGAAGGGTGAGGCGGTGATCTGATTGAGGTGTTCAAAATGATAAAGGGATGTAATGGGGCGGGGACAGGCCGTGGATTCTGGATCAATTCAAATTTTTCAAGACTGAGGTCGAAAGGCTTTTTTTTGTTGGGTAATGGATATCAATGGGTATCAAGACACTCGCACGACCATCATTCCGGTCCACGGACTCCCTAACAAGACCAAACAGATCGATTTCAAAATCCTCACACTGGTCTTCAAATCCCTTCAGGCCCTGGCACCTCTCCACCTCTCTGACCCGCTCACTCCCCGATCCCGGCGCCCGCTGCCTCCGCTCGACTGGCTGCCGCCTCCTGCTTGCCCCTCGTGCCTTCCTATCCACCATCGGTGGCCGCACTTTCAGCCACTCCGCCCCGAAACTCGGGAACGCTCTCTTTCTCTCCCCCTATCCCTCCGCTTTGCACCTCCTTTCCCATCTTCAGGTCGCGCCTCAAGACCTTCCTCTTCGACCGTCCTCCTCCCTCCAACTCGCTATCGTGCTCCGCCACTGTCAAGCGCTCTGGGACGCTTACCTGGAGCGAGGGGCGCTCTATAAGTGCAAGTTGTTGTTGATATGGAGCAAAAAGGCGAGTAAATGGAGTTAAGGTACAGAACAGCCAAATCTAATAGAATGGCGGAACAGGCTCGAGAAGCTGAATGGCCTCCTCCTGTTCCCATGTTCCCACCCTTGTAGTGATGGGTGGTGTGTGTGTGTATGTGTGCGGCTTTGGGAGTATGTGCGGGGGCATGGGGGTTTGGAGTTGGGGGGTGGGGGGAGAGGTGGGTTGTACCCAGAAGGGAATGAGCTCACCGTGTGTAATGCTCGGCGCTGACTCTGAAGGTTCTGTCTGTTGGAGGGGATCCAGACTGTTCCTGGAGTTTGTCTGACTCACGCGGACCTTGTACTCTTACCAGGTGGAAAATAGAACGGACTGTTCCATCGTCTCTAGCCAGAGCCCAGGTTCCCCTCCGCCACCCAACCCCCCCACCCCCCACCCGCCACCTCCCTCCCTCCCTCCTTCCCTCCCTCCCCCGTGCTGACAGCCGCCAGCTCAACAGAACCCAGTCACTTTTGGCTCCGCACCTTATCTTCTTTTGTATATTACCCAACGAATGATCATCAAGCACCTGAAGCGGAGTGGAAGGTCCCTCTGTATGTTTTTTTTCCGCGTGGCTCGGACCAGCTTGTGAACCTGGCTTTACGTTAGATTCTCTTGTTTTCTTCTCCGCAGACCAGCAATGTGTGATTTTGGAATGGATCAAGTGGCTCCCGTTTGCAAAGAACCCCGAGCAGTGCTTAAGGTAAGCTCTCAAAGTCATGACACCACTCACCCCACCCCACCACCACAAACCCCCCCCTCACTCCACAACCAACCGCACCCCCCACACCCCCCCCCCCACTTCCACCCCCGTCTTCTTTTTTCAACGGCTTAAAGAGGCGTGTGAGGTGTAATGGAACATGTAGAGACAGGACAAGATAGTGCAGAGATTTACACCCAGGTGCAAGGGCAACTCAACACCCGCGCTGGTTAAGAGAGAGGCACGCAGAACACTCACTCGCATGCGGTTGCCTTGTGGTACGGAGGCTTTCAGGACACAGCAAACAGTCAGTGTTTGTTTGCAATGAGTCCATTTCCATGTTGGTTAACGTTGCCTTTAACCTGGTAGATATCGCCACTGTGCAATGGCTATGATCCCTCTGACTCACCCACTCTCCACCACCCCCAGCCTGCTACTGACCTCTTTGACCGCACTTTATGGTATAACAATAATAATAATAATAAATGAAGCACCTTATCACGTCCTTGAGACACACACATCAGAGCGCTTCGCAGAATTTATTGTAGAGTGGATCGACTGTGTATTTTGTGGGCGAAACACGACAGCCAATTGCTCACAGCAGCGTCCCACAAACAGTCAGGGATTGCGTGACCAAATTTTTTTGGAGAGGGATTATTACCCCTGGAAAGCGATCCGCCAATCGACTAACAACCGGGTTTCTATGTACCGCTCGGTAAACAGGCGCGGGTGGAGTAAGGAAACTTGCTTAAGGTTTCATCCTACCCGGGAATCGAACCCGTGATCTCCCAATATGGGAGTCCTGAAAATGATTGGCCAAATGGTCTATCTTCTGAGCTGTAAATGTCTGTAGCTGTGTGCTGTGAGCCAAGCAATCGTTGTGTGTTGATGTCTGCATTGAACTGACTAGTTTTAACAGGCACAAGCAGTTCAAGACGGGCTGTTTAACAGGGATCTGTCAAAAGGAGAGTGACTGAGGGGGAGGAAAGACAGATTGGTCTTATTACTCGCACATACTCATACACACACATACATGCTCACACACACAGACTCTCGCACACACTTTCTCGCACACACATACACTCTCATACACACTCTCACAAACACTCACTCACACACTCACACTCTCTCACACACACTTACACACACACACACACTCACTCACACACACACTCTCATACCCACACGCACACTCGAAACTCTGGAGCGTTATCATGTGCTGCTCTGACTGATTGACAAACAGATTTTTTTTAGGAGGCTGGAAGCACCATTTTCTCAGCCAAGCACTGTTAACGATTAACTTTATAATAGGGTTTGTCAAACGGGGGAGGATGAGGAGGAGGAGACAATGCCATCGATCCTCATCAAAATTACATGGTTATAAATTAGGTCTATCACACACTTACACACACTTACACACACAGAGACACACACACAGAGTCACGGAGACAAACAGACACACACAGACACACAGACATACACCCACCCAGAGACACACACACACATACAGAGGCGCGCACACTCCCACACGAGGTACTGAGCCACAAAGACGCACGTGATCGATGATTGGCCCAGTGAGTAAGTGTGAACTTGCCCATCATGTTACACAATCGACTTTTCCCATTTCGCAATGTATTCGGTACTGTAATCTGTTATCATCAAAGCACATAGCAGTCAACTTGGCATCTCAAGTTCCTCAGTTGTGAGTTGGAAAATATTTACCAAGGGTTCATAGAGCATTCGACTATTTCCTTCAGTAGAAAGTTGTCGATAGACCATTTGTTAGTCGGTTGACCGGGTATAATAATCCCTCTCCCCGCCAACCTCACCACTCAATCCACAACTATTTGTGGGACACTGACTACCACAAAATACGCAGTCAAACTACTTTACAGTATATTTTGTGAAGCGCTTTGAGACGTCGGAACAACGTGATAAGGTCAGTGCCTTGGGACGTCCTCCCGACTTGAAAGGCGCTATACCAATGTAATTTGTTGCTGTATATCAAATGCATTATTATTATTATTATATTATAATTCACAAATTATCAAACCAGTCCGGACGCAAGAGGCAGGAACACAGAATGAGCAGCCAAGTAATCTCCTTGTTGGGAGTGAATGAAGGTGTTTTCTGGCCCAATACGATACCCAGTGTGTTAAGAGCCTTTTCCTCTTATTTTCTCTCTCAGCGCCAGTCAGCGTTCGACACGTATGAACCGCTCGGCAGCATCTTTGCCGGGTTGCTGTCGTATTTGGACGAAGACCAGACGTTACAGGAGGTACCGACGGGCATGGCTTCCCTCTTATACGGTAAAGAGCTTAACGGCTCGGGACGCTGCCTAGTGCGGCATTGAGCAGTGCGCAAGCTCGGTGTGCTGCACTTCGCCCACAAATTACAGTCACTCCACCTTATAGTGCAGACACTGCTGTGCGCAATCTGTCTTAGCTGACACTCCAATGCAAGAGTGTGGGGTGGGTTGCAATGTCGGAGGCGCAGTCCTTTGGGTGAGACGTCAAACCCAATATCTGACTGTTCAGGTGGATGTTAAAGATCCCGCGGCGCTGTTCAAAAAGAGGAGAGAGTTTCTCTCTCTCTCTCTCTCTCTCTCTCTCTCTCTCTCGGTATCCTGGCCAACAATCCCCCCAAATAAAATTGGTCGCTCGCTCCATGGCTGTTTGCGGGACTCTGCTGTGCGCAAACCGGCTGCTGCGTTTCGCTCACGAAATTACACAGTCACTCCACTTTGCAGTATATCCTGTGGAGAGCTTCGAGCCGTCTGGACGAGGCACTATATCAAGGGCAAGGATTATTCTTATCGCTCTGCGTGAAAAAAATTCTCCTATATCTCCATTCGCTCTTCCCGTGACTGTCTTACACCTGTGTTCCCCAGTCACTGACTCCCTGACCACTGGAAGTAGCTTCTCCCTGTTCACCCTGTCGAAACCCATCACTTTGTACACATCAGAAACAACAAATTGCATTTCACTTCGGGAACACGTCCCCCAGGTGCTGGACGGTCAGGAATTGGGACCCGAGTTGGAATCAGGAGGGTTGGTGGGCAGGGAGGGTAGGGGTCGGAGGGTGACCGAAGGCGCGGTCGAAGAGGAGGGTCTTGAGACGGACCTTGAAGGAGGCAAAGGAAGGAGACTGTGGGATAGAGTTCCAAAGGGTGGGGGCAGATAGTAAAACGGGGCAGTGGGATTGAACTGAGAGCCGGCGCAGATCCGATGGGCCGAATGGCCTCCTTCTGCTCTGTAGATTGCTATGATTCATCCTGTCGCCTTTGTGATCTGACAGGCTGCACAGCCTGTGGCTGACCCGGGGGAAGCTTCACATGGCCCAGATCTCTGGAGCAACCGCTGAACATTTAACTAATGCAGCAACAGCCATCCCCGTGGCCAAACATAACATCTTTTAACTCCAGACAGACTGCAAACTGGTGCCGTTCCAGTCTTGCGGCTGTGGGTTACAATCTCTTTGCCAACCTGGCTTTTTGGCGATTGCGATTGCTATTGGGAAACGACACAGATTCCTTTCCGAAGTTCAGGCTGCACTAACCAGCGATTGGGGTCCATCGAGTCAAGATGATACATATACAGTGGAAAAAAACAAGCTGCACTGTTTTATAGTCAGCCTACAAACGCACAGTGACTGCATTTTACAGCAGACCCTGTGAAGCGCTTTGAGATGTGTCAGCGTGATAAGGCACCAGCTATATTAGCTAATTATTAATTACTGCTATCGATATATTTAATTAGCTGCCGGGTTTTCCCGCAGAATACGCACAGTCACAACGCTTTATAATAAATCCCGTGAAGCGCATTGAGACATCTCGACGACGGGAGCGGGAGGGAGACAGACAGCGAGAAAGAGAGCGAAACACAGACAGAGTGAGATTGGCATAGAGAGAGAATTGCTGGCACAAGGCAGTACTACAATCACAGTATAACCTCCGATGGAATATAATATTAATAATATTAATAATTCTAAGAACCTTATCACGTCGCTGAGACCCCTGAAAGCGCTTCACAGAATGTATTGTAAAGTTTATTTTTGGTGGGGGGGGCAACACGCGGTAGCCCGATCGGGCACGGCAGTGACCCACAAACAGTTGCGGACTGAGGCCACCACATTCTTTTTAATTATTAATATTATTTGTTTGGAGGGATTATTACCTCCGGAAAGCGATCCACCAACCGAGTAACAGAGGTGCGTGGAGTAGGAAAACTTGCCTAAGGTTTTTTTTTCCCCCGCGCGGGAATCGAACCCGGGTCCCACTCGCTTGCGAGGCGAGCCCGCTACCCGCTACGCTACGGGACTCTCCTCGGGTAAACAGTGCGCTGCTCGCGGTACCGCCTCTCACTGCATCGGTTCTGCTCTCTCCCTGCAGACGTCGGCACCAGTGAGGTGCCTCTCCTCACGCCGGGCAGCAAGGCCGTCATGAGCCTGGCTCTGAAGGAGAGCTTCAGCGGCTTCGCCAAGGAGCAGTGCCGTCTGGGAATCGCCAAAGGTAACTCGCCGGCGCCTCAAGAAACTGGCCACGCTGGCTTTACGTTACACCTCGGAGAAGAGATTGGTCTCACGTCCGTTGGGGGGGGGGGGAGGGAATGGGGTTGGGTGGGGTGGGGGAATTAATGGGAAAGCGAGCTCCGTGAACCTACCACCCCAGGTTAGCAACATTTGCAGTTTGGGGTTAACCCCATGCGAACGCACAGGGTTTGCCCTCAACTATGCCAATCCACAGCCAACGAGAACAACGGCAGCAGCAACACCAACATGTTGGGCCTTTCGCGTCAGGAGGACGACCCAAGGCGCTGGACAGTCAGGGATTTGGACCTGAGCAGGGGGTTGGGATCAGGAGGGGTAGGAGGAGGGCAGCGGGGGGTAGGAGGATGACTGAAGCCACGGTCGAAGAGGGGCCGTGCCTTGAAGGAGGCAAGAGGGTGGTTGGGGGAGCAGGGTGGGGGGTGGGGGTTGTGGTGGGCTGAGGGGAAGGGATTGTGAAGGGACTGTGTGAGGAGGCTTTACAAATTCACCTGGCGTCCTTTTTCCATTGGTCACAGCAGTATCTACAGTAACTAACTGACAACGGCTCGCGTTGCACTGCGCAATGCGGTGGTGGGGCTGGAGCTAGGAAGATGGGGGGGGAGTGGGAAGGTCGCCACAAGCGTCTCACACATATCACAGCGTCACGTTCCGTCGCAATCTGTGTGATAGTAGCGTTTAATCTTGTGACGCTTCCCTGTGCCGGCGAAAAAATGGGAGTCAAGTCCACCCTCTGTGATGGTCTCCAGGCCGGTTCCTGAGCCGGGTGGGTCCTCAGTGTTCCAGGGCAATGCTTACTTACGGCAGCCCAGCCTGTTCTCGACGTCAGGACTTGGGAGGAACCCGATCCGATTTGGCTGCCGCTTCAGGTTCTTTGAGCTCACGTAATTTAGGCCGACCCTCCAAATTGATAATAATAATCCTTCCGAAAAGATAATAATGCAGTCGCTCGATCCACAGCTGTGCGGAATTGGATGTCGCGTTTCGTCCACGAAATACGCAGCCGCTGCACTTTACAGTATATTCTTTGAAGCGCTTTGAGACGTCTCGAAGGCGCTATATCAAATGCAAGGATTATTATTATTATTATTATTATAATGCAGCGGTTGAATTGTCAGAGCTGCTGTCCTGCGGGTGAGAGGTTTAAACCAAAGCCCCGTCCATTGCCCTGTTCAGGCGGACGATGAAGATCCCGCGGGAGTGAGGACAGAGGATCTGGGTTCGGAGACTCCCAAATACCTCGGCGATGGTTTTTTTTTACTCGTCCGGAATAAACGAGCGTATTGCGTATCTCCTCTGACCTCTCCCCAGATCCTCACGTGTGGAGTGAGCGGCAGGTCAGCCAGTGGTTGCAATGGGCCATCAATGAGTTCAGTCTGGAAAACGTCAACTTCCAAAAGTTCAGCATGTCCGGGCAGGCACTCTGTGGCCTGGGTAAGGACAGCTTCCTGGAACTGGCGCCCGATTTCATCGGAGATATCCTTTGGGAACACCTGGAACAGCTAATGAAAGGTACAGCCCTGGTTATCCCATTCTCGAGACCTTCCTTGTTGACCGCAGCCTTCGGTCATCCTCCCACCACTACCCCCCAACCCCGCCCCACCACCCCCGGCCTTTACCCTCCACTCCTCTTGATTTCCAACCCTCAAACGCCGATGCAAACCCTTCACTGAATGTAAACCGCGCGATATTAATGCAATTTGTTGTGGTGGTTGTGGTTAGTCAGAAGGTTGGGGGGTTCAAGCCCCCACGTTGGGGCTTGGAACCACATAATCTTGCGCTGTGTTGGGGGGGCGCGGTGTAGTGGGAGGGGGGTGTGGGGTGGGGGGGTGTGTGTTGCATTGTCGGAAGTGCCGTCTGCTATTCAGGTGGACGCACTATTCGAAAAAAAGAAGAGGGAATCTCTGTCTCCTGGTGTCCTGGCCAACAATCCCCCAAATAAAATTGGTCCTGAAAAACACAAGTCACCGCGCTTTACAGTAAATCCTTTGAAGCGCTTTGAGATCTCCTCCTGAATGACACACAGAGCATTACGTCAAACGTACGGATATTATTATTAATGATTACACCCATCCTCACATTTGCTGGAGCGCTTTTCACGTCAGGAGGGCGTGGAGTATAAACACTGCTCGTTCATTGCGTATAATCGCAAGTTGCTGTTGACTCACCGACCTCTCGTCTGGAGAGATATTTTTTTATAAAACAATGTGATTGATTGCTTCTCTTTTCTTTGTCTTCCCCCCCCGTTCCTCCCTTTTTTGAGTCCAGCTTGTCAGGAGGAGCCGCAGTCACAGTGCCTGGGAACTCCGACACACTACTATTCCAACTCCCATTGGATCAGTAGCCATTCGAACGGTAAGCCATTCAAAATCAAACTATTCCAAAACTCCGCTGCCCTTGTACTCGCCTGCTCCAAACTCCGTAGAGTGGAGTCCCGGAGCTCAGCGGTTGGAGCCCTCGCCTCGCGAGCGAGAGGACCCGGGTTCGATTCCCAGGCGGGGGCAACACGTTGGGCAAGTTTTCCTTCCTCTTCACATGCGATGCAAGGATTATTATTATTATTATTATTATTATTATTATCGTACCAGTGCTCGTCAGACTCCACTGGCTCCCTAGCACAGGACGGATCGATTTCAAGATCCTCTCACTCGTCCACAAATCCCTTTTTTTCACCCCGCACCTATTTCATCGTTGCCCGCAGGTATCAGAAACAGCCATACCCAGTGCGGAGAGGGAGCTCTCTCGGGTTACATCGAGACCAGCCTGCACGGACAGATCTTGTCAGACTTAAGAAACCAGGAGTTCCTGAACATGACCCACGACTTCCAGCTTCAGCCCAACCCGACGGCACCTCGTGCTGAGATGAGCTATTACCCCCCGCAGCGGCAGCAATTGACCACCGACAACCTTCTCCAACTGAGCATCATGGGCAGGGGTGAGTCGAACAGAGAGAGAGAGAGGAGAGAGAGAGCCCTGTGTGGTCAGGTCTGAACTAAAGGCATCAAAGTGAAGATACAGTAAAATTCCCATCTTATACCGTGGAGTCCCGTAGTTTAGTGGTTAAAGCACTAGCCTCGCAAGTGATTCCCGGGCGGGGCGAAACCTTAGCCAAGTTTCCTTCCTTCACAGACCTCTGTTTACCGAGCAGTAAGTAGGAACCCAGTTGTTTGACGATTGGCGAATTGCCAAGGCTAATAATCCCTTCAAGAAGACGACTTGATCGCTCAATCCACGACTGTTGGTGGGACGCTGCTTTAGGCGATGGGCTGCTGCGTTTCGCCCATAAAATACTCCACTTTACAGTATATCCTGTGAAGCGCTTTGAGACGACTCAACGACGTGATAAGGCGCTGCTTCGAATGCAAGGATTATTATCATTATCTTTATAAATTGTATAATCGCCCAAGTCATTCATGCACCCGAGTCCTATTCAGTTTCCTGTCAAACCCACTTAGATTTCTTTGCGCCACTCGTATTATGACCTCCTAACTCGTAACACCCCTCCCTTACCCTCCATTACCTCCCCCACTTACCAGCTGCATTGAACCACGGGAAATGAGGTCCTGAGCCGTCGACCCGTGCACACACACACGCATACACGCAATCGCACACGCAAACACACGCAGAAGAGAGCTTCCATTTCCCGCGATTCCAATGTGATCAGGCGCTATATCAAATGCAAGGATTATTATTGTGATTATAATGCCAGTCTGTTGTTGTCGTCATCATTAGCTGGACCCCAGAAGCAAGCGTCCCTGGAAAGCGTGGACAGTTTTGACAGCTCAGACTCGGTGCTGAGGTCGTGGGGCAGTCACTCCTCGCTGTGTGACACCCAGCGCGTCCCCTCGCAGGACAGCTTCGAGGTGGAATGCAGCCAGTCCCTGTGTCCCAGCAAACCCAACATCTCCTTCAAGGACTACATTGAAAAGAGGAAAGAGCCCCTGGAGCTGGGGAAGCCCGTCATTCCTGCCGCTGTCCTCGCTGGGTTCACAGGTGAGGCCTCGTTCCATTCCCTATGGTGCAGTGGTTAGAGCATTCACTTCGCAAGCGAGAGGACCTGGGTTCGATTCCCGGGCGGGGCGAAACCTTAAGCGAGATCCTGTTTACCCAGCAGTAAGTAGGAACCCTTGTCGTTAGTCGATTGGCAAATCGCTTTCCGGGGATAATAACCTCTTCAAAAAAATTAATAATTTGGTCACTCAATTCACGACTGTTTGTGGGACGCCACTGTTCACAATTGACTGCCACGTTTCACCCACAAAATATACAGTCAATTCGCTTTGCAGTATATTCTGTGAAGCGCTTTGAGACGTCTCAACAATGTGATCAAGCACTATATCAAATGCAAGAACTATCATTATTAAGGGCAGAGGTGCCGTCCTTCAAATGAGACGTTAAGCCAAGGTTCCCGTCTGCGCCTGTTCAGGTGGATGTTAAAGATCTCGCGGCACTATTCAAAAAGAGAAGGGATTTTCTCTCCCCCGGTGTCCTTGCCAACAATCTCCCCTCACCCAAAATCAAATTGCTCACTCGCTCCATGGCTGTGTGTTTGGTGGGTGAACGTGGCAGGATGTTTGCGCACAAGACAAAGATCCCATGAGGTGAACCCATGATGGCTGGCAAAGGGAGAGAGCTTTACAAAACAGGAAACTGCTTTGCTTTTTCCTTTGAAGAAAGGGAAGCCGAGGCCCTGTTTTGATGTCTGTTGTGAGTCTGTTTCCCGTCATCCCCGGTTGACTTCCACTCTCTGGTTCCTGTGCAGGAAGTGGGCCCATTCAGCTCTGGCAGTTCCTACTCGAATTATTGACAGACAAATCGTGCCAGTCTTTCATCAGCTGGACCGGGGACGGATGGGAGTTTAAGCTGACCGACCCTGATGAGGTAAGGGTCTCATTTCTACCCGACAAACGCATTCACCCTATGAAACAACAAGCTCCATTGATACAGCGCCTTTCACATCAGGAGAATGCCCTAAAATGCTGGACAGTGAAGGGTTTCCACCCAAGCTGAAGGGTTGGAGTCATGAGGGGTGGTAGAGTGGTGGGTGGGTGACCAAAAGCACGGTCAAAGAGGAAGGTCTTGAGACGGGCCTTAAAGGAGGCAAAGGAGGGGGCGAGGTGGAGGGGCTCCAGGATGGAGTTCAAGAGGATGGGGGCAGAGAGGCTAAAGGCCACCAGATCACCAATATAGGGTGGGCAGGGTGAGGATATGGAGCAGGCCAGGTTCCACCGAGCGAGGAGAGCGGTGAGGTTGGCAAAGTTTTAGTGGGTCGCAGTGGTAAGAAGAAGCAGGACCGTGGAAGGCTTCAAAGGTGAGGACTCTGAGAGTGTGTTGTATTGTCGGAGGTAATCCTTTGGATGAGACGTTAAACATAGATCCCTGCTGCCCCTTCGGGTAGACATTAAAGATCTCAACGCACTGTTCGAAAAGAGAAGGGAGTTTTTCTCTCTCCCCCAGTGTCCTGGTCAACAATCCCCAAATAAAATTGGTCACTCACTCCACGGCTGTTTGTGGGGACGCTGTTGTGCGCAGTTGGCTTCCGCGTTTCGCCCACAAAATACACAGTCAACTCACTTTACAATATATTCTGTGAAGCGCTTTGAAGCATCTCAACTGCGTGATAAGACTCCATATCGAATGCAAGGATTATTTTTATTGATTTATTTATTTTTTATTTATTATTATCATTAATATTAATAATAACTGATGTGCTTTCCATGGCTCAGGTGGCCCGGCGATGGGGCAGGAGGAAGAACAAGCCCAAGATGAACTACGAGAAGCTGAGCCGTGGGCTCCGCTATTACTACGACAAGAACATCATCCACAAGACCGCGGGGAAGCGTTACGTGTACCGCTTCGTGTGCGACCTTCACAACCTGCTGGGCTACACAGCGGAGGAACTGCACTCCATGCTCGGTGTCCAGCCAGACACCGAGGACTGAGCCCCAGAACAGGCCAGCCCGTGCCCCCGCCCTCTCTTCTCCCTCCCCCACCGCACACGAACATATATGCCATTTTATTTCACGGCCCGGACACACCCCCACCCACCCTCCTCCGGGATCACGAGACATCTTTTTTTACCGTGAGAGATTTAAAGATGTCCCCTCTCCTCCCCACCCCCCCATCCCCTCATTTCCCGACATTACGGACTGATAACACAGCTCGACGCTGGTGAATTAAGCGGGGAGACTGGCGTGGGAAGACGGGAGCACTTTAATCCGTAGCTCTTTTTCTGACGGTGAATTGTCTCTCTTTTTTTATTTAAAACACCCGATATCTTTTGTCCATCCGTCTGTTCCCTGTTCAGGCAGACGTTAAAGATTACTGCGGCGATACCGCTGTCAAGAGAAGGGGAGTTTCCCTCTCTCTCTCTCGCTTGCTCGCGTTCTCTTCCGGTGTCCTGACCTGACAAACCTCCAAATAAAGTTCAGGCACTCGTCTCGTGGCTGTTTGTGGGGGCGCGAGAGGGGTGGGGGGTGGAGGGCTGAGGGTGTTGTCGCTGTGCGCAAATTGGCTGCCACATTCGCCTGCAAAATGCACACAGTCACACAAGACACACAGTTGCTGACACTTCCCGGTATAAAATCCCCCGAAGCGCCACGAGACGTCCCCCTGACGGGTGAAAGGCGCCGTGTCGAATGCGAGGATTATTCATTGTCGTGAGTCGCGACGTTAGTCCCATCAAGAGTCGTAAATAAAAATATGGACCCTCTTGTTACCCCGGAGGGAATCTCAGTACAATAATAATATAATAATATAATAATAATAATAATAATCCTTGCATTTAAAGTAACAACCGGGTTCCTCCATACTGCTGGGTAAACAGATGCCTGTGGATTAAGGAAACTTGCCTAAGGATTCGTCCTGCCTTGGAATCGAACCCAGGTCCTCTTGCTTGCGAGGCGAGTACAGGACTCCATACAAAGCAGCTGGTTTAACTGCATCGAGTCGAATGATTGTATAAAGCAAACAAACCAAAGGAAACTTTTTCCTCGAAAGCGGGTCCTCGCGAAGTTTTGGTGGTAAAAGGAAAAACCTATCCACCTACACCTTCTGTACAGCAACGTGAGTTTTTAATATTGAACGTGGATGTTATTTGTATAAATGGTTGTGGTTTTGATATATATATTTTTTAAATAATAATAAAAAAAAGAAATGTTTTCTCCAACAATTGGCTCGAGTGTTTTTTTTTGTCCCTCGCTGAAGTCATAAGGTTGGAAAGCGACTGGTCATTTTGCTGAGAGAGCGACGCAGGAACAGGAGGAGGCCATTCAGCCCCTTAAGCCTGTTCCCCAATTCTATCAGATCATGGCTGATTTCTCCATTGACCAGTCTTTGACCCATGTCCCTCGATACCCCGACCTCAACAAAAATCTATCCATCTCAGTCTTCAAAATTGGACTGGATCCACCATCCACAAATTTTGGGGGAGAGAGTTCCAGATTTCCACCTCCCTTTGGGTGAAAATGCGTTGATCAGCCCATTGGGTTTTTTTTTGGGGGTGGGTGGGAGCGGAGGAGGGAAATGGAGGGGTAATATTAAATTATCTTGCTTCGGTCGGAGGCCATCAAGAGTTTCCTTGGAGCTGAACTGGCTCCAAGGTGCCCTGCTTGTCAGAATCGAGCCCACTCACCCTCTGCGTTGGTCTGAAGGCTGTAGATTCAAAACTGAACCCCAGCCCAGCCCTGTCGGGGCGGTGGGGGGGTTGGGGGGAGCATTGCACTGTCAGGGACGCCATCCTTCCGGTGAGATGTTAAACCAAAGTCCCGCCTGTGCGTGTTCAGGTGGACGTTCCTCCGGCTCCGGTCTGCTCCACATCCCCCGCCCCAACCACCCTACAATCGGTGGTCGGGCCTTCAGCCTCTCAGCCCCCAGGCTCTGGAACTCCATCCCCCAGTGCCTTCGCCGCCTCCTCCCTTTCCTCCTTCAAGGCCGGTCTCAAAACCTTTCTCTTTGACCGTGCCTTCAGCTCCCCTCTCGACTCTCTTCCCCTCCTCGCTCCCTCCCTTCCCTCCCCTCACCCTGACCATTTCCCCCTCCTCGCTCCCTCCCTTCCTCCCCTCACCCTGACCATTTCCCCCCTCCTCGCTCCCTCCCTTCCCTCCCCTCACCCTGACCATTTCCCCCCTGTGCTCGGGTCATGACCCAACTGTGCAGCGCCTTGGGACGTCCTCCTGACGTGAAAGGCGCTTTATAAATGGAATCTTGTTGTTGTTGTTGTTGTTGACGTTAAAACTCCAGCAGCGCTACTTGGCTGTTTGTGGGACATTGTTGTGGGCAAACAACAACAACAACATTATCTTAAAACGCAAAGCACTGAAGATGCTGGAAATCTGAAACAAAAACAGAAGTCGCTGAGGAACAATGAGCGGGTCAGACAGCATCTATGGAGAGAGGAAAGTGAGTCAATGTTTCGGGTCCACGACCCTTCGTCGAAACCCATCTTCGTCGGAACTTTGTTATGCGTCGAGGAGGTTATGGTAACCAATGCTCGGTGCAGGTGAGTGCGGACAGCAGAGTCCCCTTTGGGGGAAGGAGGGCCATCAGCTTGGAGTATAATTGTCTGGTGTGTGAGGAGTTGTTGTTTGTGGAAGATCTGGTATAAGAGGGTGTGGCGCAGGGAGTCAAAGCAGTTGGGTGGGAAGCAAGAAGCACCCAGGATTCTCTGGGAGGATGTACGTCAACAGGACTTAATTAGGAACCAGTTTCTTATCCTCCCCTGGCAGCGCCAGTCTGACACGTTGACATTACTACAACAACAACTTGCATTCACACTGCGCCCTTGATCCATGATAGCATCTCACTTGCGGGGTTGGACACCAAGCAAGGGAGAGGGGAGGTGACCAAAAGTGCATAGGCCAAAGAGGTCATAGGAATAATAATAATCCTTGCATTTGGTATAGCACATTGTCACATCGTTGAGACGTCTGAAAGCGCTTCACAGAACATACAGTAAAGTGGATTGACTGTGAAATTTGTGGGCAAAATCTAGCAGTCAGATTGTGCACAGCAGTGTCCCACAAACACCCGTGGAGCGAGTGACCAATTTTTATTTGGGGGATTGTTGGCCAGGACACCAGGGAGAGGAACTCCCTTCTCTTTTCGAATAGTGCCGTGGGATCTTTAGCTTGAACAGGCAGAAGGGAGCTCGGTTTAATGTCTGAAGCGCTTTGAGACGTCTTAATCACGTGATAAGGTGATACATCAAACACAGGGATTATTATAGTAATTAATACCAATCTTGAAAGGAAACGTCTGAGAGAGGGCCTTCTAGAGGTGCTTAACAATATTTTACATAGGAATAAGAGATGCATTGTATTGTAAACCCAGAGCAAATGTAGTAAAATCCTATGAGTGGACTTTGAGACGGCTTGAAGACGTGATAAGGCGCTGTATCAAACGAAAGGTTTATTATTATTATTACCTGTATGGATTATTATTCTTATACTTGGAAGAGATTCTGTCTCGTGGATCAACATGTTAAGACACTTCACACGGAGGATAATGAAAGTGATGAAATTGGTAGCAATTCCGTAAAACGTTTCCGATAAGCACAAGTCATAAACCACAAGAACAAAGCTGCGCAAGATTGCCACAGTTATCCGGTTCCAAGAATAAGATTACTGCCATGAAATGACCTCAAGTGATCTATTTTGATGTAGGTTGTTGCCAATGGATATGGTATCACTGCTCAACCATTGAAATTAATCCTTGCAAACAATGCTGATGGAATAACCCAGCTCTTGTCTTCCTTCGGTGGTGGTGGTGGTGGTGGTTGGGTGGGGTGGGCAATAAACTGTGTCTACTCAGGGATAAACTGGCTCCTCAATGACGTGCCCAGGTACCCAAGCCTCCCTCCCCGTAGCCTTGAAGATTTTCTCTTTTCAAGTATATTTCCAATTCCCCTTCGAAAGTTGTTATTGAATGCGCTTCCACCACCCAGTGCATTCCAGATCATAACAACTCAACCTAACATTGCCCCCGCAAAACGCACAGTCACTCCGCTTTGCAGTACATCCCGGGAAGTGCTTAGCGACGCCCTCCTGTCGAGAAAGGCGCCGCATCTAAGAATTAGCTACCAGCAACCGAGCCACTCCACAACAGCAACAAATTACATTTGTATAAATGTAATTGTAATCCCAAATCACATTGGGAGGAATCCACAATAATGAGCGGAAATGTTTCAACAGGAAGGCAGCTCTATAAAAAGAGCGCACATTATAGGCTATGCACTTGAGTATCTGGTGATGAATGCCAATGGCCCGACAATGAGAAGGGAGATCCCATTGAAAACATTCCTGACTGATGACCAGTCTGCCTTCCTTGGTCCAAAGGTCAACCTGCCCCAAAACCTATAATTATAATAGTCATAATCTTTCCATTCAACTTAGGGTCATTGAGATGTTTCAAAGCTGTTCGCAATTGGCTGCCATCAATTCACTTTACAGTATTTTCTGTGAAGCGCTGTGAGATGTCTCAACGACACCATAAGGCGCTATATCAAATGCAAAGATTATTATTGTTACTATTAAAGCTACAGCTTACAGTGACAAATCTCACTGTTCGTGTGTCCGAATGATAATAATAATAATCCTTACATTTTATACAGCACCCTGTATTGTTCAATGCCTCACCGGATTTCACTCTAAAAGTGTAGTGACTGTGTACTTTGTAATCAAACACAGCAGCCAATTTGCACTCAACAATGTCGCTCAAACAGTCATGAAGCGTGATCAATTTAATCTGGTGGGCTGGGTGGGGGGGGGGGGCAGGGAGGTTGTTCCCCCGGGGCAATGGGAGTGAGAACCTCCCTTTTAAACAGGACAGATAGGGCCTTGGTATGACGCTTCATCTGAAGGACCGCACCTCCAACAAGGCACTCAACCAACCCCCCACCCCAGCACAGCACTGAATTGTCAGGCTTGTCTATTTGCCAGTGGAGCTCTCTCTCTCTCACACACACACACACACAGCCTTTGTCAGTCTGCTCAGCTCCTAACAGAAACTAATGACCAGGGTTTAAAATATGCTCAGTGCCTCCACTATTGCGCCAGCACCAAATACCTGTGGTCATTGCTCAATGACAACAGCCCAGACTATTGTAGTCCTGAAATACCCACTGACTAATACCATCTCAAACACTGAGAGCTC